CCCCCAATCCCCCCCCCCCCCCCGCCCCGCCGGCTATATCTCCAACCTGGTCTCAAAGTATCACCCAAAACATCGGCTCCGCTCATCCCACCTCCTGCTTTCCAGCTCCCTTGTCAACTTCTCCCATGCTCGCCTCCAGGACTTCTCTAGAGTCTCTCACATCCTCTGGAACTCTTTACCCCAACCTGTCCGTCTGTTGCCCACCTTGACTGCCTTTAGGCATTGCCTAAAGACTCGTATCTTCAGGGAAGCCTATCCCACCTCAACCTAACCGCTCAACCATCACGTTCTCAAACAATCCCCACACACAGCTCCCTCCTCATGTATCACTCCCCCCCCCCTTTCAGATTGTAAGCCCCCAGGGGCAGGGCCCTCCTTACCATCTTGTCTTGAATTGTATTGTGATTGTAATGTCCTTCCTTATATTGTAAAGCGCTGAGCAAACTGTTGGCGCTATATAAATCCTGTATAATAATAATTCAATAAAAAAAGCAAGTAGAAATGTTAACCCTTAAGAAGCCAAGAAACCCTAACCCAAGTAAAAGCAATATAAACTGCAAGAAGCAGTTTTAAAATAGTTTTTTCAGCTTATGCTATATGAAGAATGTGTAACAAATATAGAAAAGGTGTTACCCTAATTTGGCTGTGAAATGGAAATCTAAGCATTTTTAAAATAAAACACTGTAGGTTTCTAGAAGTCTGTATTTAGTTTCATGAAGACTTTTTGCTCTGCATTCGCTCTGCTTTGAATGTAGTAGTTTATATATGGAAAAATTGTTGGTGCAGTGCTCATTTTTCTTTCTTATGGTTTGATTTTGCAGTTGGATTTGATTACGGATTTGTTGGGAACACCGTCACTTGAAGCAATGAGGACAGCTTGTGAAGGCGCCAAGGCACATATACTCAGGGGTCCTCATAAACAGGTAATGCAGCCATCTGCATCATTCAACTAATGGGTGATTTTACTGAAGAACTGAATTCTAAAAGCATAGCTTGTACAAAAGCAGAAAACCAATGTGGCCATACATTTGAAGTGCCTGTCATTTAAAAAAAGAAGTAAGATTAGTGGGAGTAGAGTGCAGGCATATAGAGGTATCTGCGCATACATGCAATTGTTTTCTGTATGCCCAAATGCTCTGCTGTTCGGCACCTACTTGAAGTGAAAGCTTGCCAACCATCTCCCACATATTCCTATTGGCAGGTGAAACAATTGTTAGTGATGGTCTGCAAGGAATATAGGGTGGGCAATGAAAGTTCAAACACTACCCAGAAGTGTTGGAGCATGCCCCTTCAGAATGGCTTGGTATTGGGGTGTGCAAGTAACTATTCAATCGGCTACATACTTGTTAGTATCCTTTTTTTTTTTTTTAAGTTTAAGATCAAATCCTTTGAATCAAAGTTACGGGGGCCATTAATCTTTGTTAGATACCAAGTTTAGTAGCAGAATCCCAAATCTGGTCTCTTCTGTGTTCAGGTAGATTACCTGGGTGATGTAAAAACTGAATACATGCATAATCTTGTCTATTACAACCGCAATAAGTATCCTCTAAGTGTGCTCGTGTTGTGTTTCAGAACCATTGATGTCCAAGGGAAATTCCAACACTCACAGGGTTATTCACTAAAGGGTGAAGAGTTTGGAGAAGTCAGGAGAAGTGACCAATCTAGGACAACATAGCTCATTTGGAAAAATTCTCCAATTCAGCTCACTTTCCAGTTCAGCTCTGTTGTCCATATTATTCACTTCTGCTTTCTCCAAACTCTTCACCCTTTAGTGAATAACCCCGATAGTTGTAGAAGTTCCATGATGATGGGGCATATAGACGCAAGTCATATTTATTATACATGCTTTCCTAAACCCTTTTATATACATATATACACTCACCAGCCACTTTAATTAGGTACCCCTGTTCAATTGCTTGGTAACACAAATTGCTAATCAGCCAATCACATGGTAGCAACTCAATGCATTTAGGCATCTAGTCATGGTGAAGACAACTTGCTGAAGTTCAAACCGAACATCAGAATGGGGAAGAAAGGGTATTTAAGTGACTTTGAATGTGGCATGGTTGTTGGTGCCAGATGGGCTGGTCTACTGGGATTTTCACGCACAACCATCTCTAGGGTTTTTCAGAGAATGGTCCGAAAAAGAGAAAATATTCAGTGAGCGGAAGTTGTGTGGACGAAAATGCCTTGTTGATGTCAAAGGTCAGAGGAGAATGGGCAGACTGGTTCGAGATGATAGGCAACAGTAACTCAAAAAAACACTTGTTACAGCAGAGGTATGCAGAATACCATCCCTGAATGCACAACACATCGACCCTTGAAGCAGATGGGCTACAGCAGCAGAAGACCACACCGGGTGCCACTTCTGTCAGCTAAGAACAGGAAACCAAGGCTACACTTTGCATAGGCTCACCAATTCTATTGTAAAATAGAAGATTGGAAAAACATTGCCTGGTCTGATGAGTCTCGATTTCAGCTGCGACATTCAGATGGTAGGGTCAGAATTTGGTGTAAACAACATGAAAGCATGGATCCATCCTGCCTTGTATCAACGGTTCAGACTGGTGGTGGTGTAATGGTGTGGGGGATATTTTCTTGGCACACTTTGGGCCCCTTGGTACCAATTAAGCATTGCCTACCTGTTAATTGTTTCTGTTCATCCCTTTATGACTACAGTGTACCCATCTTCTGATGGCTATTTCCAGCAGGATAATGTACCATGTCACAAAGCCCACATCATCTCAAACTGGTTTCTTGAACATGACAATGAGTTAATTGTACTCCAATGGCTTCCACAGCCACCAGATCTCAATCCAATAGAGCACCTTTGGGATGTAGTGGAACGTGAGATTTGCAACATGGATGTGCAGCCAACAAATCTGCAGCAACTGCGTGATGCTATCATATCAATGTGGACCAAAATCTCTGAGGAATGTTTCCAACACCTTGTTGAATCTATGCCACGAAGAATTAAGGCAGTTCTGAAGGCAAAAGGGGGTGCAACCCGGTACTAGCAAGGTGTACCTAATAAAGTGGCCGGTGAGTGTATGTTTCCAAATGTTAGAAGGTAACAGCTGGCTGCCTTTTGTTAGGCAATTTTATGCCACGCATGCATCTGATACTTTTACTAGAAACTGCAAGTTTACACGGCAAATGACTTGTTAAATGTCTTCTTACACCCCTCTGAGACTTGGGAGCATAATTGTAGGTACTCATTGGGAGTTGATATTATTATTTTTAATACCGATCTCATGAGACGGTAGCATCTGCTTAGTATATTTTCTGTCTGTTTATGCATTATGTCAATATTAGCCTGGAAAAGTTAGAATCCTGAAGTTTTTGTCAATCATTGGCACTGTGGATCTGCAACAGTGTGCGAGTATTTTATCCAACCAATGGGGAATCCAACCAACAGTGTGCTTGCATTAAGTATCCAAGAGCCCCAGGCTACATGAGACCTTTAATTATTCATAACCAATGGTGATATGAAGCGCAATTGCTTTCTCACTGTGACTTCCTCCACATCACCTCATTCCCATAGCACTTTGTGTAACTGTATGTGCATCCTTTTACTTTCTTTTAGTTTGGAAGAAACCAAACATTTTGGTGCTTCAGTTGCCTCAACCAGATGAGCAGATGGTTAACTAATCTGTACCTAAAACTGTTCATACAGTGCCACCCTTGCTGCTGTAGCTTTTAGATGCTGGCACCATTGATAGTCCTACCGGTGAATAGTGGCACTTTGCTCTTCCCACAGTTGTTTATATTGGCTTCCCATTGGTCTATCTGCAGAAAATTATGTGAATGCCTTGCTCCATCCCTCCGTGTCTATAAGGGTGTAGAAGAAAGCCAGCTTCCCAGCTGCAAAAGGATACTTTTTGAAGACATTTAACATGCCAACTTGCCTTTTTTATTGTTAATTTTGAAACATTTTATAGTAACATTTAGATAATGGATTCCAGGGACATGAGAATCTCATAGCAGTGCCGTAATGGTTGGGGACAGAATCAGTACTGACAGAGGAGATGTACATTTTGCCCATGCTAACCAAATTTAAACCAAAGAAAAAACGTTATTGTAGTCAAAGCAACAGCACACTTGTATACCTCCCCACCCCACAGCCATATGCTCTTTTTCTTTGCTGTCCTGCAACTACATGTGGCTGGCTTGAGTGAAGAAAATTACCCAGTACTTCCAGCATGTGATCTTTTTCCCTTCCTATCACGAGGCAGTCCTGAACAGCCAATCACCAGCACGGTCACTTGAGGGCAGGGAAAAGACTTTAGTCCAGTGTAGGTTCCTACTAATGGGGCCTGAAAATTGCTCTGGGTTTCTTTGCTTTTGCGTGAGAGTCTTTCCCTGTTTTTTGTTGGCGTTCAGAGAGCTGCTCTCAGTCATCCTGACACATGAACAACATGACGAAACCTATGTGTTGTGATGAGGCTTGCATTGTAACATGCATTACTGCAACGCAGCGACCATAGAACTGTCTATGGCTCTGTGGAATTTGTCCTTTCACCACAGATGTACGGTATATATCACAGTCACTCCCAAGTGCAAGGAAGCCAAAACAATTTGTTATACAATTATTCATTGTTTGCTATATATAGTTTATGATTAGGATTTCTCCTTTCGGTTTACTTGTAGTCATTCCTCGTAAAGTGCAGTTCATTTACCTTTCAGTCATTGCTTCATCAATGGTTTTTTATTTGTTAGGCTGTACTTCTGTCTGTGTGGAGGTTTTGAGAATATTTCAGTTCAGCTTTGATTTATTTGCATAGCATAAATGTGAAGTGTGACTACGGATGCAAGCTTTTAAAGGCAGTTTTACTTCAACACACTTTCATACTGTCAGCCATATCTGGGTTTTTTTTTTTTGGGAGGGGGTTCATGCATTCATGCATTTCATACAACTTTGTCCTGATGTAATAAAAACTAGACATGGAGGTTTCAGTTTCTCAGGGGTAAACTCTTTATTGCTTTGCAGCAGAAATTTGACATGTAAAACAATTTGTTTTTTGTTTTTTTTATAGTAAGTGTTCACTGGTCATATCATTTAATACATCCTTAAAGCAGAAATGCAATGTATGGCTGTCTAAAAGGGCGCTAAGTAGTATATATTTTTTGTTGTCTTTTAGCTGACCTAGTTGTGCCTCTCTGTGGAATGCATCATGCTGTCACTTTCACTTATCCTGATCTGGTTCCATTAATACTCAGACAGGACAGATAATGCAGGACATCAATTTGGCGCCTTGCCCAAATAACAATATCCCTGCTCTGTAACCAGAAGCCTTGTCATAAGCCGAACACGGGTCATTCTGCAAACACAAACGTGGTTAGCGGAAAGAGGAGGGCAAAAATAATAATAATCCATTTTCCGGCAGGCAACGCTAGTCTGAGTATTACTAACCCTTAAGCCACAGTTCCCATCTGTCAGTCCTGCAGAGCTGCGAGGTAGAAGACAGACCTTAGTAGAGGAATAGGTTCACAGGAGCCATCAGAGGCAGGCAGCTTGATGACCAGGAGAGCCATGCCTACAATTTAATCACTGAGCACAAGAAAGTAGAAATTCAATAAACCAGTTACTTTCACTGGGACACAAAATGGTCTGTTACTTTAGCCGATTACTGCAGCTAGCGAAAAGAAGCAAGTCTATTATACTTTCAAATTGAACTGGTGTACATTATGGCTGTGCAGAGCTATTACAAGAACATAAAACCTGGATAATAGGAAAAAAGAGAATTACGGTACGCTGCAACTGAGTTCTTCAAACTGTTCTACATGGAGTAATAAATACATATCATTTGGCTGATTGAGCCAGTTAAATAACATTCGATACTGCAAAAATGTATGCCTTAGCATACAAACACTATCCTAGATTTCAATGGCCGTTTTCCTTAAGTCCCACAAGTTTCCTGAAGAAAAGTGTGCTGTATCTCATAGCAACCAACTTGCAGCCATCCTTAATTGTTAAACAAGTTGTGATACATTAAAGGGACTTTAATTTCTAGCATCAGGAGAAAAGCGACACAAATATATTTTAAAAAATGTACAGGCAAAGCCAACATTTGTGTAGGACTTCCGTTGTCTATCGCTAGATCTGCTGAACTTTGACACATGGTTTTCACTTAAGGCATCGTAACTTTTGCTTATATGTTTTTATTGTATGCTCTGTTTTGTTTGCTCAAGATTTGAGTCAGGTTTACATTGATACATGACTGTTAGGGGTACTATGAGTTATTTCCGCACCAGTAGAGTCTGAATTTCCCAGAAGCTCAGTTCTCAAATCAAAGTTTTAGGATAAGCAGTAACCTGCAGCTGGAATTCTATCATTTAAAGTGGACTTCATCCAAGGAGAACTATGAGGTGAGTGAACTCAACCTCATAGTTTGAGCCGACGTGTGACAATAAAACTGTCACACGTCGGCTCAATAGATCGGGAAGTGAGCGAACACATACCGTCGCTCACTTCTCGATCATGTCCCTGCAGAGAGCAGTGACTGTCACTTTAAATGACTGTTCTCAGTGGAGAATTCAGTTCAGCAACTCTTTTCCCACATCCTAGGTCTTCTATGTCTCCTATCAACTAAATTGCCCCTCTCCACACTCTCTCCAGTTCCACAACATCCTTTGTGAACTAATATTATGTCTCCTTTTTTTTTCTCTCACTTTCTATCGTCTATATCTCTTTTATTCAAGAAAGTACTTTGTTTGCTTTTGGAACTGTGGCTTCTAAAAGCCTGATGTTGGAAAAAAAATGGCCATACTAACAAGTTTCTCATAGCCACCACTCTGATTCAAGCCTGCCTTGGTGGTTTGGATGTGATTGTTGATATAGGTAACACAGAGAGGGAGAGGAAGTTGCTAAGCATATGCGTTGAGTTCTACTTCTGTTGTCCTCCTTCTGACTCTTCACAGGGCTATTCATTAAAGGGTGAAGAGTTTGGAGAAGGCAGGAGAAGAGAACAATCTAGGACAACATAGCTGAACTGGCAAGTGAAGAATTTTTCCAATTCAGCTCACTTTCCCATTCAGCTATGTTGTCCTAGATTGTTCTCTTCTCCTGCCTTCTCCAAACTCTTCACCCTTTAATGAATAGCCCTGTGAAGAGTCAGAAGGAGGACAACAGAAGTAGAACTCAAAGCATGTTCAGCATTGCTGAAATGCATTAAAACCTCACTGAGTGGTTTCTCTTGTTGCGTGGGAATGCTTTTTATGCTGTATTTGTTCTTATTGTCACTGCATTCCAGAAGATTTGCTTCTGGAAACAGGTGCATGGCTTTTTTGACAACTGCTTTCATAGTATATTTAGCTGACCGCTTCTCCCTTTCAGGTGATCTCAGGCAGATGCTTTAACCTTTTCCCTGCCAAGCCCTCGGGAACATTTTTCAATTCAGCTGGCCAAGCCATTGATTTGATTTTCAACTGCTGCGTTGCTAGTGTTTGTAAAAGACCCCCCAAACCATATATTTTCTGAAAGCGCAGGCCTGGTAGAATAAAAAGATGGTGATACTAAATTTGTAGGCCCTGCGATAATTGCGCAAATGTTTCTCAAATGAATATTAAACCGATAAAAATACACAATTCAATTGATAAAACACACTAAAATCAGTATCCGTGCACAAAAAAAATATTTTCTGACTAAATCTAAAAGATAAAACTGTGTGGTGAAATATCTGGGGTCTAAACAGACCCCTGACATTTCCCTTTTTAAATAGAAAAAGAAATTGAGAACAATTTCTTTTTCTGCAGCCCCAGCACTCAGTACAGAGGCTTCCCATTCATTCAGAAACTGATAGTAAAATATTTTTACTATCACCACTTTATGAATGGGGAGGAGCCTCTATAGTGAGTGCTACTCCCCATTCATAAATTCTTGAATGAACAAGACGTGATGTAAATCACAGCCTGTTCATTCATAACTGGGGACACATAGTACTATGTCAAACTAGAAAAAATGGTACATGCATGTATCTATAACCAGCCTTTATAGCAGGGCGCACATTGGGAAGGCTTACAACAATACAAAACACAAAAATTCCCCAGCCTCAACCTGCCAGCCAGCCTGCAACCAAACAAGTAGCCCTGTCAACAGTATGCGTTAAAATCAGAGGTTTTAGTTGCACAAACTTTTGGCCAAAAATATGTAGAAGCCACACTGCCGCGCCAAGGCACCTCTGCAAAGTGTGGTCCTAACTCTATGTATCCGAGTCTCCAAGTGTGAGCATATTAATGAAGTTGATAAATTACATGCAGGTGTACCTGGAGGTAGCCAACTCCTCCTAATAAGGTGCAGGGACGCACTGGAGGCCCAGCAACAAAAAATGCACGCTGGGACTCCAGTGCATCGCCCAAACCAAAAATAGTCTGGTTGTAGGCTGGTTATAGATACATGCATGTACCATTTTTTTCTAGTTTGACTATTTTTTGCCACTTGCAAAAGGCTCCAAGGTCCAGCTACTTGTTTGTGTGACAAGAATGTGCAGAATTCTGTGGCAGTAATTGCGGGAGCAGCTGTCCACCTGTGTTTAGATGTAATCACGCATAAAGCAATCCAGTTAGAGACAGATGATCTTCCTGCACACAAGCTGCATGCAGAACACTTCAGGGGGGCGGATACAAGACCAGTCACCCTACACAAGGTGAGAGCAGCAGTGACTGGTCTTTAGTATAGGAAACTGTATAGAAATGCACAAAGTGTATCAAGATTCAATTAGGGCTACACAAACCACTTATATATAAACAACATTTGTTTATCCTAGAGTTCAGCTCTAAAGTCTTTTCCTTTTTATGTGCATATATATTCTTAATGGACACTGTTGACCAGAGTTTTATCCTTTTACAGCCATTGGGGGAAAAAGCACATATCCTTTTTTAGACATTTTATATCCAATGAGCACACTTATAATTATACTTGTTACAACCCATTAAACCATATCCATTCTGTTTTGTGTAGATCCAATCACAGCCTGTCCTAAAGTATAATCACTTTAATAAAAGTTGCTCCCAGCTCAGGTTAAGCTACTGCTGAATAAGTCCCACTAGTACTGATGGTCGTGTGATTATACACGGTTCACAGGCTCATTCACAGCCTCTAGGTTCAGAAAAGCATTTCCTTGTAATGCATTTATAAAAATAGACTATGCCTAATCCCCTAGTGTACTCCATCAGTACGAATGACCTCGTATCCACAACAAACCTGATTATACATACCATTGTCGAGTGGTGGTTGTATGGGTCAACAATGTATTTGCTAAATGAATGGTGGTGTAAATATGTCGGGTAGCATGTCATGGAGAACCTATGGGTTTATCATAAACCATTACCACATAACCCATCTATTTTACCAGATCATGTCGGCTGCTCCTAAGGAAGGAGTTTTACATGTAAATGTCTAATAGATTGTTATAGTTTTAATATATGTGAATCATTTACAAAGGCAATAACAATGTT